AAAAATTTGGATCCAGTTCCTCTGTGGGCACGATTTCATTGGTAATAGGCATGCCTAAGCCTGCCATCACATTGGTGCTCCTGGAAGTAGATGACGGCGGCGCATGGAGGTCAGCTGAAAGTGTTTCATGCATTTTAATTTTATCGGGCTTTTTTAAGAGGCATGTAAAATTTAAATTTTTGTAATTATTTTTGGAAAAAAATCCTCTAGACATTTTTCTAGATAATTATCATATTTTATATTTACTAAATTTATTTGAAGCTTACAGGAGCTGTCCACAGAATAAGCCGCGGCCACCAGCACTAGCGCAGCGATTGTTTTCATGCCGAAGTGCAGCATTTCTCTCAAATCTGTGATGTTTCGCCTCTCTAGCAAAATTAGCGCTGGAGTTTCTGGTCACGCTTCCTCTACTAGATGGTTAGCACTAGTTAAATGAATTTCGCAAATTGCTTTATATGCTGCCGATTAGAGATTGTAGTCCATTCTTAGCCGGACGACAGATGCCGGGTATCAAATTTTCAATTTATCTTTATGACTTTATTATTTAAGTAATTTGGTGATAATAATTCTTAAATTGAAAAATGTTAAAGCTCCTGCAATTATACGATATAATGCTTGTACAAAATCGATAAAATTTGATACGATCTAATTTGCATACATATGTATGTTTATATATAGATATGTGTGTATATATAAAGCACTTTCTTCATATATACATACATAGTGGACTAAAAATAAAAATATATTGGGCCGTATGCATAAAAACTAAGCAAATGCTTTTTCTTAAAACTTCAAACTCGATTTAGGTGAAAGGTATGAAATTTTAAGAAATAGCAATTGCTTAGTTTTTATGCATACGGCCCATTATCTCTGAACAAAATTCGTCGGTACGTGCGAATTTATTGAAATTAAAAAACAAATTAATAAAGTCAGCTTAACACATTATGTACTAAATATGAAGTTTTATCTAAGATTGGCGGGCGCTGTATTTTTTTGAATGAAGGTTGCTGTTAATCTAAAATACATAAATAGCATAGATTTTATATGCACTTAATGTGTATTTTTATTAGTGCATCAAATCCCGGGATCGTGGATACTTTTCCGGGATTACAGCTTCGGGACCCCGAGACTTTTTCTGATTTATTTACAAAGCAAAAGTGCTGTTGAAAACGAAAAAATGCATTCACGTGCATTTGACATGAAAAACGAGAAATAAAGAACACCAAAATTTGCATTCAAATTGAACTTGATTTATTTGCATTCGGAAGTGACTTTCAGATCTGCAAGAACTGTGCAAAAATGAAACAACTGGCAGCAATTAAAAACACAAGACACTTTTACAGTGTGACAGAATTGTTCTTCATTTTATTTTGTTGGCATGGTTTAGTGGCAATTGAATTTCTGCCAAAATGAGGAAGTATTTTTGCAGTTAATATAGATATTTAAGAATACTAAACAAATATTTTAACATTAAATTACGGTCGCGTAAAACTAAATGTGGTGACAATGAATTTGTGTGGTTTCTTTTCGACTGCTGAGAACGGTGAGCCTACTGCAAACTGTAAAAATTGTAATAAAGTCGATGTCCCGAAAAATCCCGGCATCCCGGTATAAGAGATTTTTGCATCCCTAAATCCCAGGATTGTTAAGGTGCTCCGGGTTGGAATGCCTTAGTTTACACCAAAAAAGACGGCTAAGGAAATTCTCCGAAACGAAAAAATTTAAGAAACTGGGGAACTACTAGAATTTGGGAACCACTACTCCAAACAAACTCAAAGAAATCAAGCACTCTCTGAGCGAACTGACGATCACTTTCAAGAGGAAGATAAGAGGAAGTGCGGAGGGCTTAAGATGCTGGCAGGCAGGTATATGGCTAGAAAATTATATTTAAATGCTAGATCTATACAGCGGCTCCGCCCACAGCAATATTTTCAGTTTAAATTAATTTATAATCTTAGGGCTTTATGATGCTTTATATTTCGGCCGGCGTAGCCGAACGTTGGTTCAAACGCTCAATCTATCTGGGAAACACTCGATAACTTGTTTTTACGATGACCTATCAAGATGGAACTCTGTACGCTGAAAGTTTTTTATTAATTATAATTTATTATTAATTTTTGTGTTATGTAAGAAAATTAAAATAATCATTAAAATTAAAAACCGCAAAAACATTAACGATTACTAATCGTAATGGAAATGTAAAAATGTGAAAATGTATTGTAATAAAAAATACACTTTACTATATAAAATGTTTTGAAGTCTTTTGTGACACCATTGCAAGACCGTAAGCAAGATAGCTTGTAAGATTTTGTTCACTCTGGCACGAAAGTCTTCTATATATTTCGACGCGCGCAGAGTAAAAACTCTCTCTGCCCGTCGCTGTATTAGAAAGATCTGAGGTTCGAATTTTCGGGCAGCGGATTTTTTATTCTTTTTATTGAAGTTAATTTTAAGTTTAATTTCATTTTAATTTTTGGATTTTATTTTTATAAAAATATATTTTTTTTTAATATTATTTAATTTATAAAGACTTATTTTATTTTTGAAATTCCATTTCATACTGAATTACCTCTTATTTTTATGATTTTATTGTTTTAAAAAAGAAAAATATATATTGGTTTTAATTTCATTTAATTTTAATTAATTTAGTTTTTTAGGAACCTATTTTATTTTCTCCTGTTTTTCAATTTAATTTTCTTATTTTTATTTTCATTAAATTTTTGTGATTTTGTTGTTTGAAAAAGAAAAATATATATGATGTATTGTGGAACGATTTTCTGCCATCGCTTGTCAAATTTGGTTTGGAGACCAACCGGTTTCGGCAGTGTGCCATCTTCAATGTCATTAAACGTTCTCTATTTTGGTCTGTTTTTTCTTCGAAACTGTCATCGAATGTCTTCTTATATCCCGAATGCCCACTGCCGCCATCACATCCTCACTTATACAGCAAAATAAGTTCAACGCATTTTCAATGTTTTAAAAGTTCGTTTTGCTGTTTTAAAGTCTTTTTGTAGTTTGATATACAAAACTTTGCAAATTCACATTTGAGTACATCTTTTGGATAGCAAGCACTCCATTTTGGCAGCCAAAAGTTTATGGTATAGGGGCAGGTGTTGGAAATATGTTTTTTTTTTTTCTACCTTTGCAAATCGAAATATATAAAACTAAAGCCTCTTCGTTCGTGTAAGGTATCGGTTTTCAAAAAAATTGACGATTTTCGCAGGATCTCGCTTTCCAAATTTACAAAGGCTTGTTCCACTTTCATTCGCTTCGCCCTCTCGCCTTGATCAGAAAATTTCTTTGATAATCTTCCATGCTTAGATGTTGACTCTTCTTCAAGAGATGTTGAAAATGCTTTGGTTGAATAATAAATATCCTATCTAACCAACTTTGATTGGAAGCCTGACACAGGAGCTTCGCGCGATAGGTCTGCGTACACTTTCGGTTCAAAATAACTACATATAAACATACATATGAACGGAGACTTGCACATCTTTTCAATAACTATCCCTATTGCTCTACTTTGAAGCCCATTCTTACATTACATATTTACATAAATACGATAACACGAGCACTTGTTCTTTCATCATGTTGTTTCTATTG